TTTGGCCAGCCTGGTCTCGAACCTGCCTCCCAAAGTGCTGGGATTACAGGCGTGAGCCACTGAGCTGGACCTTCTTTTTACTAATACCACAAAAAGTAGACCAGGCCAGGTGAGGTGGCTCAAGCCTGTAATCTTAGCATTTTGGGAAGCCGAGGCCAGCAGGTCACTTGAGGTCAGCAGTTCGAGACCAGCCTGACCAACATGGTGAAACCCCATCTCTATTAAAGAAAAAAATTACAAAAATTAGCCAGGCGTGATGAGGCATGCCTGTAATCCTAGCCACTTGGGAGGTCGAGGGAGAAACTGCTTGAATCTGGGAGGCAGAGGTTGCAGTGAGATTGTGCCACTGCACTCCAGCCTAGGTGACACAGGGAGACTCCATGTTAAAAAACAAAAAGCAAAGTTTTGGGGAAATAGGTGGTACATAACTCTGTAGTTGTGAATACATTTCAGCATTTTATCTAATAATAGGTCATAATTTTGGGGTTACATATCATACATGTAATTAAACAGTTTTAGATATTGGTTTAATAAAAGGACTCGGGTTATGTATCTATTCCATCAAGTGCTATTCTTTAGCCCATAAAATTGATCTTGGAAGCTCCAGTTTTCTTCTCTGGGCTCCCATAGCACTATACGCGTACCTCCTTTTTTTTTTTAAATAAATAAATTTTAAGCCCAAACCTCACAATCATACCTCTTTTATAGTAGTTACTTGTATTTTTTCAAGGGCCTTAATGTTCCTTAAGTTGATGGTGAAATTTGTTTTATATAAGTAAAAGCTTTTAAGCTTTTTTTTTTTTTTTTTTTTGAGACGGAGTTTCACTCATGCTACCCAGGCTGGAGTGCAATGGCACGATCTCGGCTCACCACAACCTCCGCCTCGTGGGTTCAGGCAATTCTTCTGCCTCAGCCTCCTGAGTAGCTGGGATTACAGGCACGCGCCACCATGCCCAGCTAATGTTTTGTATTGTTAGTAGAGACGGGGTTTCACCATGTTAACCAGGATGGTCTCGATCTCTTGACCTTGTGATCCACTCGCCTCGGCCTCCCAAAGTGCTGGGATTACAGGCTTGAGCCACCGCGCCCGGCCCGCTTTTAAGCTTTTAAGCAATGGGCTAAATAGTATGAGTTAACTAGTAGCTTTGCCTCTATTTCTTATCTTAGGAAAAATTAAGCTCAAGACAAGTATTATACAATTTTGATGGTTTCATCCAAGTTGCTAATCAACATTTTTAATTTGTAAAGAGTTACCAAGCTAATTTATAGGCAAGTGCTTTATTAGAATTAGATTCGTCAATATCTAAGCATATAATCTATTCCCATAGAAACTGTAGAGGACACTTTTAAAAACTTTTTTTTTTTTTTTGAGACGGAGTTTCGCTCTTGTTACCCAGGCTGGAGTGCAATGGCGCGATCTCGGCTCACCGCAACCTCCGCCTCCTGGGTTCAGGCAATTCCCCCGCCTCAGCCTCCTGAGTAGCTGGGATTACAGGCACGCGCCACCAGGCCCAGCTGATTTTTTGTATTTTTAGTAGAGACGGGGTTTCACCATGTTGACGAGGATGGTCTCGATCTCTTGACCTCGTGATCCACCCGCCTCGGCCTCCCAAAGTGCTGGGATTACAGGCGTGAGCCACCGCGCCCGACCTTAAAAACTTTTTCCTAATGTACTAGCCAGAGACTTTTTAGTTGTAATTTGGAGAAATGTAATTGAAAGTATCTTCAACGAAGAGTGAGAAAGGCTCCTGAGGGAGCCCAGAGTGCTCAAAGAGGAGAAAAGCTATACCTTGATGGAATCGGGACTGCCAGAGCAGTTTTTCTGTCTCCAGCATGGATGCTTGGATCAGAAAGATGGGTTCAAATTCTAGCTGTTAAGCCTTAATTTCCTTATCGGTAAGGACACACACACACACACACACTCTATCTCTATCTATCTATCTATCTATCTATCTATCTATCTATCTATCTATCTAGAAACAGAGTTTCACTCTTGTTGCCCAGGCTGGAGTGCAATGGCACCATCTTGGCTCACTGCATCTTCTGCCTCCTGGGTTCAAATGATTCTCCAGCCTCAGCTTCCTGAGTAGCTGGGATTATAGGTGCGCACCACTATGCCTAGCTAATTTTGTATTTTTAGTAGAGACAGGGTTTCTGCATGTAGTTCAGGCTGGTCTCAAACTCCTGACCTCAGGTGATCTGCCCGCCTTGCAAAAGTCCTGGGAATTCAGTGTTGTATTAAATAAGGCAATACATTTAATAATAGCTCAGATTTCCTAATTCCATGACACTGGACATGATAGTTTTTTTCCTAATTATTGACATTCATATAAGCACCTTTAATCCAAAATATTCAGGACATTAGGCTACTAAATGAGTAGAAATCTTAATGTTTAAGAGCAAAGTAAATGAAACAGCTAAAACAGACAATTTTTTTAAATCCCTAAGTCAAATTAATTAGTTACATTCTGAGAACAACCTAGTTCAGCATTTGGCTTGGCAAAGAAGTTGAGTCCCGATCCATCCTGTACCAGTGCAATTCAATAGCTATTAAGTGAGCCAGTTATAGAAGACATAATTTCTTCCTTTGAAGAGGCACAGTCTGAGACAAGATAAAATTAAAATGCAATGTGGGCCGGGCATGGTGGCTCACACCTGTAATCCTAGCACTTTGGGAGGCTAAGGCGGGAGAATAGCTTGAGTTTGAGACCAGACTGGGCAATATAGTGAGACCTCTTATCTACAAACAATTTTTTATATTAGGCTTGGAGGCGCACATCTGTAGCCCCTGCTACTTCAGGGCTGAGGCAGGAGGATCATTTGAGCCTAGTAGGTCAACACTGCACTGAGCTGTGTTCACACCATTGCATTCCAGCCTGGGCAACAGAACAGACCTTTGCTCAAAAAACAAAACAAAACAAAATCAAATTGCAATGCGATTTTTTATGCATAGAATATATTAAGCACTACGGAAACACAGATGAAGAAGCAGTTAAATTTGTTTGGTGGAAGAAGAAGTTAAGAAGTGTTAAGGAGAGTTACCAAGAAAACGTGATATTTAAGCCAGGCTGTAAAGGAGTGGGCAATCACCAGACAGAAGAGGGGAGAGAAAAGGACATTTTAGGTAAAGGGAACAATAAGAAATATACACTCAGTGGAACACTTAGGAAGAGATAGAGAGACACTTACGAAGAGACAGAGAATCTAAAGCACCACAAAGAATGCTCCAAAGAAAGGGCTCTTCTGAAAAAAAAAAAAGGCTGATTTTCTGGAATCCATGTGAAAGAAACCAACCTGCCATCTTTTGTTGGTAAAATAATTTAAAAATACAAGAGTGATAAAGAAAATTAGCTTTATTTATGTAATTTAGAAAAACTGATTGTAGTGTTGAGAGTTTGTCAAATGTTGTCACTCTGAACAATTTACAATAGTATTTACATACAAACATACTAAAATAGAGTACATCACATTACTTTTGCTTCAAAGTGTTTTCTCAATTCTGACATGCCCCTAGCACTTCAGTTTGTAGTTTTTAACAGGGAAATGCTCTGTTTTGACATGCTGCTTGATTCATACAGTGTAACACTGAATAGAAGAATCAACGACCATGAGCAGGGTTAAAAATATTTTTAACCAATATGATTTTATCATTAATCTTTTTTCTTTTGAGACAGAATCTTGCTCTGTCACCCAGGCTGGAGTGCAGCAGTGGTGCGATCTTGGCTCACTGCAACCTCGGCCTCCTGCGTTCAAGCGATTCTCTTGCCTCAGCCTCCCAAGTAGCTAGGACTACAGGTGCCCACCACCAATCCGGCTATTTTTGTATTTTTAGTAGAGATGGGGTTTCACAATATTGGCCAGGCTGCTCGTGATTTGCCCACCTCAGCCTCCCAAAGTCCTGGGATTACAGGCATGAGCCACCATGCCTCGCCTCATTAATCTGTTCTCTATGATAAAATATGTTTCATGTTAAAAAAACATACTTGTATTCACTGATAACCTAAATTTGTTGTACTAAGCTTGGCATTTATAGAAACCCATAGTTGATTTAAATACAATATAGATATGAACTTATATTAAAACTCACTGATATGTTTGCCACAAATGAAAATGAACAAAATTGGTTAAACAGAAGTAACATAAAAATCCATTTGAAAAATAGTGAAGATGACTTATTCTACTTAAGATGAGTAAAACTTCCATTTTCTGAAGCCAATAAAAACTAAACCAAAGGATGGTAAAAAACTGTGATATAGATACCAAATTTTATGTTACACTGTAAAGCTGTAATTTGTAGTATTATATTTATTTATTTAGAGACGCAGTCTTACTCTTGTCACCCAGGCTGGAATGCAGTATCACGATCTCAGCTCACTGCAACCTTCGCCTCTCATGTTCAAACGATTCTCCTGCCCTATATCTGGGATTACAGGAACCTGCTACTATGCCCAGCTAATTTTTATATTTTAGTAGAGACGAGGTTTCAGCATCTTGGCCAAGCTGGTCTTGAACTCCTGACCTCATGATCCAACCGCCTCAGCCTCCCAAAGTGCTGGGGTTATAGGTGTGAGCCACGGCACCCAGCCAAAGCAGAATTTTAAACCAGCAATTGGGATACGATATTAGTGCAGATCATTTACGCTAGAGCCATATTTTTATCTATCACAGTATTTAGTATGCCACATGTGTATGGACTATTAGAAGAAATCCATTTCATTTTTACAGCAGTGAATTGGTAACTTTAGTTCTTTAGCACTTTCTTAAAATTCCTGATAAGATAGCTCCATTGTCTTTTTAAATGAAAAAAAAAAAAAAAAAAAAAAAAAAAAAAAAAAAAAAAAA